CGGTCTGTATGTGGGATCCGAACCCTCGGACGGGAGCGCCGCCGCGCTTCCCAAGCAGCGCCACCGGGCCGGCCCTGAATATTGTTTTAAAATATTTGCTTAGTGTAATAGTTGTGAAATATTCTTTTAATTGGCTTTTTTATTATTACAGGGATTGAACCATCCTTTTATATATATTCATTGGTAATTTTTATTTCCATGTACTACTATTTTTTAATTGTAACTGATTATACATATTTTGGGGGTTCAATGTTGACATATGCTGATCAAATCAATATTATTAGCATATATATTATTATAAATTGTACTTATTCTTTATGCCCCTTATCCAGTCTCTCCCCATCCCCCTCTTTTCCCCTTTCCTACCTCTGATAACCCTAGATTTCTTCTCTCCTTCTGAAAGAATAACAGTTACTGTTGATTTCTTACTTAGATGATCTGTCCAGTGCTGAGAGAGGTGTGTTCAGGTCCCCCACTATTATCGTAGGGCTTCTTCTATCACTCTGGAATGGGCTTTGTGGAGAGAGACATCTTCTTCCTTTTCTTTGGTCTCTGCTGGTGACTCTCCTTGTGTCAATGCACTTGAGTGGCTGTCGGGCCATCTGCATAGTGGTTATGGTGTCTAGCTGCTTTTGCGACAGCTGTGGCTATTATGGTGGCTGTGGTCACATGGAAGTGGTGATTTTGGTGTGCTCCTTGCCTGGTTGCAGGAGGAGGGGTTGGTCCCTGACTCCAGACCTCAGGACCCCAGGCAGGCCCCGTGGCAGCAGTGGTGTACCTGGTTGCAGGAGGAGGGGTCAGACCCATCTCCGTCTGGTTTTACATTCTAAGATGTTGTTACAGAGCAGTAGGGTGGGAGGGAAGATGGAAAGGGGGAAGGAAATAGGGTGGGAAAAGGAGGAAGGAGGGGAGGCATATTTGAAGCCCGTGGCACCCCCCTCATTCCTGCAGGAGAGACCAGGGGGCTTCCAGTGGTGGCTTGGTCATTGCTGGGCTGAATGCAGATGTCAGGGGTTGTGGCTGAAGCCCTCGGCCCCATAC